CGGCGGTAGTAGTAGTAGTAGTAGTAGTAGTAGTAGTAATAGTAGTAGTAGTAGTCGTAGTAGTAGTAGTAGTAGTAGCAACAGTAGTAGTAGTAGTAGTAGTAGTAGTAGTAGTAGTAGTAGTAGTAGTAGTAGTAGTGGCAGAAGTACTAAGAACCCCCCAAAAGTAGTAGTAGTAGCAGTAGTAGTAGTAGTAGTAGTAGTAGTAGTAGTGGTAGTAGTAGAAGTAGTCGTAGAAGTAGTAGTAGTAGTAGTAGTAGTAGTAGTAGTAGTAGTCGTCGTAGTCGTAGTAGTAGTAATACTACTAGTAGCAGTAGTAGTAGTAGTAGTAGTAGTATTAGTAGTAGTAGTAGTCGCAGTAGTAGTAGTAGTAGTGGTAGTAGTAGCAGTAGTAGGACTGGAAATAGAAGAAGTAGTGCTGGTGGAAATAATACGTGTTGTAATAGTAGTAGTGGTAGTATTCGTAGTAGTAGTCGTACTCGTAGTAGTAGGTGCAGTAGTATTAGTAATCGTAATCGTAGCAGAAGTAATAATAACCGCCGTCGCAAAAAAAACAATCGAAGCAGAAGCCGCTGCTTTAGCAGTAGTAGTAGTAGTAATTGTAGTAGTAGTAGTAGTAGTAGTAGCAGTGGTGGTAGTATTACTGTTGGAAGTAGTACTCGTAACAATAGCAATCGTATTGGTAGTAATAGTACTAGTAGTAATAGTAGCAGCAGTAATAATAGTAATAGTAGTAGTAGTACTCGTAGAAGTAGCAGTAGTAGTAGTTGTAGTCGTCGTAGTAGTAATCGTAGTAGTAGTAGTAGTAGTAGTAGTAGTAGTAGTAGTAGTGGTAATTGTAGTAGTAGTAGTAGTAGTAGTAGTAGTAGTAGTAGTAGTAGTAGTAGTAGTAGTAGTAGTAGTAGTAGTAGTTAGTAGTAGTAGTAGTAGTAGTAGTAGTAGTAGTAGTAGTAGTAGTAGCAGTAGTAGTAGTAGTAGTAGTAGTAGTAGTAGTAGTAGTAGTAGTAGTAGTAGTAGTAGTAGTAGTAGTAGTAGTAGTAGTAGTAGTAGTAGTAGTAGTAGTAGTAGTAGTAGTAGTAGTAGTAGTAGTAGTAGTAGTAGTAGTAGTAGTAGTAGTAGTAGTAGTAGTAGTAGTAGTAGTAGTAGTAGTAGTAGTAGTAGTAGTAGTAGTAGTAGTAGTAGTAGTAGTAGTAGTAGTAGTAGTAGTAGTAGTAGTAGTAGTAGTAGTAGTAGTAGCTCCAACAAAAGTTTCCTTGGAAACTCGCAAGAGGAATAATATGTATCTAAACCCGTCGGCATGATGAAAAGTCGCGCGCGCGTGCTCAGCGTTCGCACGCACGGGATCCCAAGACGTCCCATGGCCACGACATGCTTCCAGGAATGCCTCAGGCCACGGACGATAACGTCCAGAGGACCCAGGATGATGCCACCCCAACGCGATCCCGCCATGGATTCTGGACCGTCTCAGGCCGACTCGCAGATGACGAAACACATGAGCGACGCGTGACGCCGAGATGGCCCGATGGCAACATTCCTGATCCAAGCGCACCCAGGGTGGCCTCATAATGACCACGCGATGGTTGCGTGATCCAAACATGACCGGGATAGGATCTCAAGATGACCTCGAGACGATCCCAACACGGCAATAATACTGACTTCGAGCCGATCCCAGCATGGTGGGATCCGTGAACAGCCCGGGATTTTGGTCTACCCCATTTTTAATGGGTGGGATTTTGATCGTCCTGAACTAAACTTATAATATTAAAGCGGAATAAGCCAGGCGGGATCCCGCCCGGCCCACGGAGGAAGACAACGTTTGCTAGTCTTCTACGGGGGTAGGGGGTTCGGAAGGGGCGTCGTTTACTTCCGCTGACATTGGCAAGCCTTCCGGCGGCCTTCCCCCGTCTTCCGCCTCGTTTTACTTCCGTCGACTTCCGCTGGCCAGCGTCGCGATGAAAATTCCAGGAACTTTCATTGGGCCGATGTAGTAGTCGTAGTCGTAGTCGTAGTCGTAGTCGTAGTAGTAGTAGTAGTAGTAGTAGTAGTAGTAGTAGTAGTAGTAGTAGTAGTAGTAGTAGTAGTAGTAGTAGTAGTAGTAGTAGTAGTAGTAGTAGTAGTAGTAGTAGTAGTAGTAGTAGTAGTAGTAGTAGTAGTAGTAGTAGTTAGTAGTAGTAGTAGTAGTAGTAGTAGTAGTAGTAGTAGTAGTAGTAGTAGTAGTAGTAGTAGTAGTAGTAGTAGTAGTAGTAGTAGTAGTAGTAGTAGTAGTAGTAGTAGTAGTAGTAGTAGTAGTAGTAGTAGTAGTAGTAGTAGTAGTAGTAGTAGTCGTCGTAGTAGTAGTAGTAGTAGTAGTAGTAGGCAGGTAGGTAGGTAGGTAGGTAGGTAGGTAGGTAGGCCGGCAGGTAGGTCGGTGGGTAGGTAGGTAGGTAGGTAGGTGGGTAGGTAGGTAGGTAGGTAGGTAGGTAGTAGTAGTAGCGGTGGTAGTAGTGGTAGGTAGGTAGTCGTAGTAGTAGTAGTAGTAGTAGTTAGTTAGTCGTTAGTAGTAAGTAGTAGTAGTAGTAGTAGTAGTAGTAGTAGTAGTAGTAGTTAGAAAACTAGTAGTAGTAGTAGTAGTAGTAGTTGTAGTAATCAAAAGTCGTTAGTAGTAGTAGTAGAGTAGTAAGTAGTAGTAGTAAGTAGTAGTAGTAGTAGTAGTAGTTTGGTGGTGGTGGTGGTAGTAGTACGTAGTAGTAGTAGTAGTACTAGTAGTAGTAGTAGTAGTAGTAGTAGTAGTAGTAGTAGTAGTAGTAGTAGTAGTAGTAGTAGCAGTAGCAGTAGCAGTAGTAGAAGTAGTAAAGGAGTTGTAGTTACAATACTCGTGGTAGTAGTTGTAGTAGTAGCAGTAGCAGTAGTAGTGGTAGTAGTAGTAGTAGTAGTAGTAGTAGTAGTAGTAGTAGTAGTAGTAGTAGTAGTAGTAGTAGTAGTAGTAATAGTAATAGACGTAACAGAAATAATAGTAGTAGTGTAGTAGTACTGATAGTGGTAGTGGTCGTGGTAGTAGGCAACACGTCCGTGGGCGACCCCACGCGGTTCGTACAAGTATGGGAAGCCGAAAGCATCAGTGAACACAAGTTCATCGCTTTGCCAGTGTCGAGGGCTGTGAGGAGGGCGGATGCATGTCCTGGAGTGAGCGCCAAAACTCCGCAGCGGCTCGCAGACTGGTGAGGGAGGCGGGGGGAGTGCCTGCGTGGAACACGCCGAGACTGGCACGGCTGGTAAGGGGCCTCGCAATGCTGCTGGGCAGACCCATCGTATTGCCGGGCGGACCCCGCGTTTGCAGCTCGGTTTGGCTGTTCAGAAAGGAGTCGCGACCAGGCTCACCTGTTTGGGTGCAGCGTATCAGTTCTACTGGTGAATCTGGCCGCAATGGCGGGCAACCCGATGAGGGTGGAAATCATGAGGGGTCTGGTTCCAGCTCCTGTCAACTGAGGACAACTCTGAGCTGTTGGCAATCCGAACGATGCTTGCGAGCACGCTGAAGCTCGTCGCGATCAACCGAGGCTCGTCGCGATCAACGGAGGAGAAGGAGGACGCCGCGCGGATTCGATTGAGCGCCGTTCGAAATCTGGTTGACATCGCATTGAGAGCGTGTGAGCCCGCAACGCGGGAGCACGACCGAACGCTGGCAATGACGGCGCTGGTGGGTCCGGCGGACGGCCAACTGCGGGTGGGGGTGGTCGGGTGTCTGAGGGAACACTTTGCGACAGACCCAGTGCATGCGGAGCTGAGGCTCTGGGCAATCGAGGTGGCAACGATAGGGGTAGGAGACCGAAATGCTGACGTTAGATCTGCAGCTGCGGGACTCGTGGCTACCTCAAGAGTCGCACGTGATGATGAACTTTCGAAAGCAAAATCATGGTGATTGACGACATCAGCCTGTTCTCAATTATATTTGCACAACCACAATACTATTATAGCACATGGAATTATTTTGTTAAAGCTCATAATCCCGCAGACGGGCATATCTGAAGGATTCGCGGCTCTGGAGGCTGAAACGCGCCAGGTTGAAATTTGATTCGTGGCTGAAAGTTGACGTGACTAGAGGATGAAATGCTGACTTTTCGGACGACGTGGCTGGCAGCATACATTATACTAACTTGAGTCGCACAAGCTGCATTCTTCGTATTGCAGTTGCGGAACTAAGGATTTCAAACTTGTCCAATTCTCCTTCCCATGCAGCCTGAACTCGCTCGATCCCGTGATCTGCAACTCAGACTTTCAGACCTGTTCACGGTAAGGACAGAAGCATTTCAATATTGCTGGAGCTCTTTCTTATGCTATATCCCCTGAATCTAGGAGAGCTTGCTTTCCGCATTCACACGAACGAAAGCGCGATTGGACTGAGATCCGGAGTAGAGGGCTCACCTTGTGCAGCAGCTCAGCCGACGGCGATTCGTTGCCTGACAGGGCTTGCACGATCGCAGGTGTGAACGAACAGGCGCTGGTCAGGCCCTTGCCCCTGCACTTCTTGCCCCTAGCGTTTGTGGCCACGGTGCTGTCCTGCCTCCAGGCCATCGCTGGAGAACGGCGGAGCGTGGCCAAACGCGAAGATCTACGGCTGGTGCTGCTCAATGTCCTCGGGGATCTGGAAACGGAAGGGGCCGACCTGGCCAGCTGCCTCGCGGGCATGTCGACTTGTGTGGACTCCTGCTCCTCCTTGCTCATCCTTGTTCGTCGTTCCTCCTCATCGTCCTCCTCGTTCTTCCTCCTCCTCCTCCTCCACCTCCTCCTCCTCCTCCACCTCTTCGTCCTCCCCCTTCTCTCCCCCCCAGCATTATCTCATTCCTCCTCCTCCTCCTCCTCCTCCTCCTCCTCCTCCTCCTAATGGTCCCCTCCGCCTCGTCGTCCTCCTCCTGCTCCTCCCGAGGCCGAGGTGCCGCTCGCCCGGCTGCGACCGCCGTGCCCGTGCCCCGCCCGACCGGGAGAGGAGGCGCCGCCGAGGAGGTGCCCCGGAGCCGGGGGCCGTCCTGGTGGACGTGGTGATCGTCGTGGTGTTGGTGAGGGTGATGGTCTGCCTCGGCGGAGCGAGAGGAGCGAGGAGGAGCGAGGAGGAGCGAGGAGGAAGAGGAGCGAGGAGGAGGAGGAGGAGGAGGAGGAGGAGGAGGAGGAGGAGGAGGAGGAGCGAGGAGGAGGAGCGAGGAGGCAGGGCCGCGGGGGGCGCCGCGAGGGGCCGACCGGACGTCGGACTCGGGCGGAGCTCGGGCCCAAGCCTCGCCACCCCGACGACGGCGACGACGACGGCGACGACGATCACGACGACGACGGCGGCGGCGGCGGCCAACGACCGATGGCCGACGACCCAGACCTCCTCGCGTCGTGAAAAAATCACGACGGGAGGTTTTTCGCTATTTTCGGCCTCCGGGGGCCCTTCCCGGGCCTCGGGAGCGTCAAAAAACGACTCAGGATGACAAGCCTGTCCCGGGGAATGGGTCGGGACCTCTGGTGGTCGCGTCATGAACAAATCATGACGTCGGGGGTCTGGGGACGACGATGACGACCTACCAAACCACCCCAACCGAACCCGAAGATTCGACTTTTGCCGGGGAGGTGCGAGGCCTCATGCTTTCCTCTTGTCCAGTGTTCCCCGACCCCCCCCCCACTGGAAACGGAGGGCAACTCGGGGCCTTCGGGATGGAATGGGGTGGTATGGTAAGCGGCGAGACGTCGGCGCGTTGTCCCGAAGCTCTGCTGCAGGCCTCGCTTGCCGGAGTCGCTTGCCGGGGCGGCTGCGCACTCGCTGCGCACGCGGCGCGTGCCGGAGCGGCGGGCCCTCGCGCGGGCCCACCATGCGAGGAGGAGGAGGAGGAGGAGGAGGAGGAGGAGGAGGAGAGGGAAACGCCTCGGTCCGAGGGGCAGTACGAGATAGGAGCTCCTGGCCCCTTCAGCCGCGGGAATCATCATCATCATCATCATCATCATCATCATCATCATCATCATCATCATCATCATCATCATCATCATCATCATCATCATCATCGTCATCATCAGCATCACCATCACCATCACCATCACCATCACCATCACCATCACCATCACCATCACCATCATCTTCATCATCATCATCGTCATCACCATCATCATCCACATCCTCATCCTCATCATTCTCATGACCATCATCGTCCTCATGCTCACCCTCATCCTCATCCTCATCATTCTCATGACCATCATCGTCCTCATGCTCATCCTCATCCTCATCGTCGTCCTCCTTCTCCTTTATCCTCATCGTCCTCCGCCTCCTCCTCCTCCTCCTCCTCCTCCTCCTCCTCCTCCTCCTCCTCCTCCCCCCTCCCACCCCCTTGCTTTTCCAGCCGACCGTGCCCCCTTCCCCTCTGCCCGTCCCGTGCCCCCCTTGGCTTAACCGACCGTGGCCCCCTCCTCTCCCTGTCCTCTGCCTCCTCCCCTCCCCATTTCCCTCCCCCCTCGTCCTGCTTTTCCTTATTCCGACCGACCATGCCCCCTCCCCTCTCCCTGTCCCGTACCACCCCTAGCTTATTCCAACCGACCGTGCCCCCCTCCTCTCCCTGTCCTCCGCCCGTCTCCCCGTATCCTTTCCCTCCCCCTTCGTTCCCTATTTCCCTTATTATCATACCTACCGGTGTGATCTCGCACTGCATCAGTTCGACCGACCGGCTGACCGTGCCTGGGATGTGCGCTGGACTGGGATGTGTGCTGGAACTGCTGCCTTCGTGTGCTGGGATGTGTGCAGGGCTGTGCTGCCTCCGTGTGCTGGGATACGCGCTGGGATGCGTGCTGGCTTCGTGTGCTGGGATGCGTGCTAGGGTGTGGTTTGGTTGGGTGCCGCCCCCGTGTGCTTTGTCTGCCCCCCTCACACCTCCGCCCCGTGGCCCCCGTCTGCTTATTCCAACCGGCTGACCGACCGTGCCCCCTCCTGCCCGACCGTGCCCTCCCGTCCCCTCTGCTCCCCCCCGCCCCCGCGCCCCTCCGCCCCGTGGCCCCCGTCTGCTCATTCCGACCGACCGACCGACCGTGCCACCCCCCCCCCTGCCCGACCGTGCCCTCCCGTCCCCCCTGCTCCCCCCCGCGCCCCTTCGCCCCGTGGCCCCCGTCTGCTTATTCCGACCGACCGACCGACCGTGCCACCCCCCCTTCGGCCCCGTGGCCCCCGTCTGCTTATTGTTCCGACCGCCTGGCCGACCGTGCCTCCCACCCTCCGCCCCGCGGCCCCCGCCGACAGACCGTGTCCCCCCTCTGTCCCGCCCCTTCTTCCCCGTGGCCCCCCCGGCTTGCTTGTCCCGACCCACCTGCCGTGCCCCCCCGCTCCAGCCGTCTCCCTGGCCCCCCATCGAGTCCCCACGGTTGGCCAGAAAGGCCCCACGACAGCTCAATACTGTCCCAAGACATCCCAAAGGAGCCCCAGACGCTCCCACAAAAGACCACCAATACGCCCCAGAGACGCCCAATAACAACATGGCCCCGAATAATGATAGAGACGCCACTAGCTCACAGTGGCATAATAAGTTATAGCTCGGCGTGTCGCAGCATTCGCGCGCTTCCCCGACACTGCCACAGGTTGGCGCCTCCTCCATCTCCCAGTGTCCCACCTCCGTGATTGTATGATCCTTGGCACGCGTGTTCTTCGGGAGCGGCCAAGAGGGGGGTGTCCAAGAGTGGGGGGTGCAAATCATGACCGGCGGCATGTGCGCGGCCCAGCGGGGGGGCCAGGGACATGATGAAACAAGAAGAGGCGCCATGAAATCTGGGGAAATATCATGGCCCCCGCCATGATATCCACCCCCCCTAGTCATCACCCCCCTCTTTTCCGCCCCCGAGTGTTCTGGCGTTCTTCCTCGATTTCGGCCCCCGGGGTGGGCCCCGGGGCCATCAGAAGTGAATCCGGTGCGAAAAACCGGCCCCGCCCTGACTTCGGATCCGCCGTGCTCTAGCAGATGCCCCGACTTCAAGTCGTGTCGGACATGCACCCCCTAACGATGCGAACAAGTGGGGCGCAAGTTCCCGCCTCCTCAGAAACACACGACTTACACTCACGAAGCACATGGCGGAAACAACGACGGCGGGAAAGCAGGACGGCAATGGACACCGAAGGAGTTCGAAACGTACTCAGGGTGGTGATTTCCGCCCTACTTTTCTATCGGGCGTGTCCCCTTACAGGGGGATTTTTCGACGAAAAATAAAAATACCCCCAGAAATACCCCCGAAAGGTCAAACATTAAGAAGATAATCCCCAGGCTATGTTTGGACTATTGTTTGATTATTTATTGGGGTATGTTTTTTTTTAATTTTTGTATCGAAAATCCCCCTGTAGGGGGACAGGACCGACTTAACCCTACTTGCGACATCGCCCAAAGCACGGCGGGTCCGAAGTCAGGGGAAGCGGCTTTGGGGTCATCACTCGGGCCTCCGACAGCCGTGCGGGTCGGGCACCCCCGGCAAGCCCTCGACGAGGCGTTGCCGCTGCGAGGCTTCCCGAGCCTAACAAACTTGTGCTAAGTCGGGCCTGTCCCCCTACAGGGTGCACTTGCGACGGAGAATTAAACATACCCCCAAAATAATCAAAATAATAGTCAAACAAATAATCCAAACATAGTTTGGGGACTATGTTTGGACTATTTTTGGGTCTTTCTGGGGCACTTTTGGGGTATTTCCTATTTTTCGTCGAAAATCCCCCTGTAGGGGGACACGCCCGACATAAAACTTGTGGGGACCATCGAAAGCGCACGAAAGCCTGTGGGAACTTCCGCCCAGCCCGCCACATCGCCCAAAGAGTGCACGGCGGATCCGAAGTCCGGGGCTGGGGCCGCGGGTGGGAAAACGTCGGCTCGGCGGGTGCCAAGGCCGCCAGCGCTGGTTCCAGGCAAAGGTTTTTTTTGGTGTCGCCATGGGTGAAGGGGCCCCAGGACACACAAATAAATACACACAAATAAAAATATTCCCTATATTTTCCCATATTTTCTGGGTTTCTGTCTTCCCGCCCACTTCCCATATTTTCCCATATTTTCTGGGAAATCGAGGATTAATTGTGTCTGTGTGTTTCTTTTCCTCCTGAATGGGGTGGCCAACAAAAAACAATAGTTCGTCCTGTTGCTCGCGGCGCGTGGCCCCCCTCGATCCAGCACGAACGATCCCACGAACTATGGCGTGCATTTTGGGGGACGCCCTCTGCAGAGGACCCCTTCGCCGACTCTGCCGGCGGCCCAGCCAGCTCATTCATGATGCACGAAGCTGGGCCCCAGCTCATTCCACTTTGATGTTCTGGTCACGACGTCCTAATAGGAAGGCACCAACTATACACCAACACCGATCCTGGCCAGGATCATCCTGGGCCCAGGATCGGTGTATACGCCCTCCTGCCCTGGGCAAGAAGGCATATACACCGATCCTGGGCCCAGGGTGATCCTGGGCCAGGATCGGTGTTGGTGTATAGTTGGTGCGCTCCGACCTAAATCAGGCTGGGGGGGCACAAAGGTGGGGTATGGGGACAAGGGTGGGGCTGAAGGGACAACCGCTCCGGACAGCCCCTGGAAGCAGCAGGCGCGCGACACGAGAGCATCCGGCTGGCCTCGCTCCCCAGCCCCCTCTTGGGACATGGCCCTCCCTCTGCGAACCCCTGGCCGGGGGCTGGGCTGAAAACCTCAGATCGGCGGACCCAGACCCCCGACGTCATGATTTGTTCACAACGTCGACCCCCAGAGGTCTGGACCCCTTCCCGGGCCCTGGACCGAGTCGTCTCTTGACGGCGCCCTCCTAGACCCGGTAAGGGACCCCCGAGGCCGGAAATAGCGAAACACCTCCCGTCGTGATTTTTTCTCACAGCGCGAGGAGGTCTGGGGATGCCAGGGCCACCCGTGGCGGCGCGCCCACGCCGCCCCCCCCCCCCCCCGCTTCGGGGGATCTTCTGACCCGGGTCCATCCAGACCCGGGTCAGTCAGGCCTCGCAGACTCTTGCAGGACCCTGCAAGATCCTGCACCCAAGCCCGGGCCAACGCGAAGGATCCTGCAGGATGCCGCAGGATCCTGCGCCCAAGCCCGGGTCACTCCGACCCTGGCCCTGCAGGATCCTGCAAGATCGGGCGCTCTGGCTGATCCCCGTTTGCACTGACCACCCCCGTCCCCAGACCCCCGACGTCATGACGTCGACCGCCAGAGGTCTCGACCCCTTCCCTAGGCCGGCTTCTCATCCTGAGTCGCTTTCTGACGGCCCCGAGGCCCGGCGAGGGCCCCAGGAGGCCGAAAATCAGGAGAAAAACACCTCCCGTCAGGATTTCTTCATTGCCCGAGGGCGGTCTGGGCCTCGAGGCTCCCGACCGCTGCCCACCGGGGACGCGGGCCGCCGAGCCGCCCGCGTCGAGGTGCTGGTCGTCTGCGTGCGCGTCGTGGTCGTCCTGGCCGGGCCGAGCCACCCGGCTCCGGCCGCGGAAGAGAGCGCGGCGCCGGACCCCGGCCCCCTCGCGCTGTGTGACAAAAGCTTGTGGATGCCACGACGAGGAGGAGGAGGAGGAGGAGGAGGAGGAGGAGGGGGAGGAGGAGGAGGAGGAGGAGGAGGAGGAGGAGGAGGAGGAGGAGGAGGAGGAGGAGGAGATGGACACCCGAACAGTCCTAGCGTCGAATTAAAAGTGTGTCTCAGATGTCGGACAACTGTTCTGAACATGTTTGGATCATGTTCTTCTTGCATGTTGGACACAGTTTTGACACATGTTTTCGACATCTGGAAATCCTTTGGCAGCATGCTTCGTCTCCGTTGATCGTCCTCCGCAAACAAAAGCACGGCGGGAGGTTATTTTTCGCTACCTTCGGCCACCAAGGGCTCTTACGTGGCCTCGGGGCCGTCAAAAAACGGCTCTGGATGAAAAGCCGGTCCCAGGGAGTGGGTCCAGACCGCTGGGGGTCCACCTCATGGAAACATCGCGGCGCCCGTGGTCTGGGGGCCAAGACATCCGACGTCGTCATTCCTCGCCGCGTAGCTCCCCGAAGGAGGACCCCAGGGACGGGCTTTTCGTCCTGAGTCGTATCTTGACAGCCTTAAGTCGGGCGTGTCCCCCTACAGGCAGATGCAGGAGTACCCTCCGAAATACCCCCAAATGATCACACAATGCAAAACAAATCGTCCCCAGACTAATTTTTTGACTATTTTGGATGTTCCCCCTGTAGAGGGGCAGGCCCGACTGGATGACAGCCCCTGGGCCCTAGCGAGGGCCCCCCGGAGGCCGCACAGGGGCCAGAACCGTCCGCCCCCCGAGGTGCGATGCCTGTTCTTTCCACTGCGCGGCTCCCAGAAGGCCGGCCCCCCGGGGACCATCTTCTGCATCCTGCTTATATGAAGGGGCCCCAGGACACACAAATAAATACACACAAATAAAAATATTCCCATCGTTTCTCATATTTAATAGGTTTCTGTCTTCCCCCCCACTTCCCATATTTTCCCATATTCTCTGGGGGATCGACGACTAGTTGTGTCTGTCTGTTTTTTTCCCTCCTGCTTATACTCCGGTCGGGCGTGTCCCCCTACAGGAGGGCTTTTGGTCGAAAGTTCAAAACATAGTCCAACCGATACCCCTAAGATGCTAACATAGTCAAAAACAATCGTCCCCAGGCTACTTGTTTCACTATTTGGGAATCTTTCTCCTGCAGAGGGACAGGCCCGACTCAAGCGTGGACTCGGGATGAAAAATCGAGGCCCGGTGAGGACACCCAGGCGGCCGGGGTCGTGGGGGAAGGGAAGAATCGCCAGCCGACGGACAGGAATCCTCCTCCTCCTCCTCCTCCTCCTCCTCCTCCCCTCACACCCTCCTCTCCTCCTCCTCCTCCTCCTCCTCCTCCTCCTCCTCCTACCTCTCCTCCTCCCCCTCCTCCTCCTCCTCCTCCTCCTCCTCCTCCTCCTCCTCCTCCTCCTCCTCCTCCTCCTCCTCCTCCTCCTCCTCGGATCACGAGCGCCCCCCTCGGATCATGAGCGCAGCACGACGGGCGGCCTGTGCCTCCCCTCGGCCTCCACCGTGGGGCCCCTCCCGTGCCTCGGGGCCAGCCACGGGAACGATCTAACAGGAAAGGCGGGTCCAGGGGAGTGCGTCCCGGCCTCTCGGGGGCTCCACGCTGGGAAGAACGCGTGGCGTCCAGGAGGGACCGGGAGAGGGGTCCTGCGTGCGGCGGCCCGGAGCCCGGCACTGTGAGGATGGCTCAGGCGGCATGCGCCTGACCGCCTCGCGCGCGGGGCCTCGGACCATCACAGGACCCCGTTCAGCACGCTGCTTGGGGAATCGTGGCGAAGGAGGTCTGGGAAAGGGTCCTGACGGACACGGAACCTGCCCTCGATCTCCACCCTCCCTGAGACCCGACGGCGCGACAAGATCCACGCATCACACAGAATCACGACCGGAGCCCTAGAATCCACCTTCCTGCAGCATTGTTCCGAACCGCATCGATATGTGAGGACCCCGGGCCCGCGAAAGCCTGACGAAAACGCCCAGCTCGAAAACAAGTGAGACGCCAGGATCTATGAGGGTTCCGCGCCTTCGCCGCGGCCGCAGCGGCGGCCGCCGCCGAGGTCGCAGCGGCGGCCCCGGTGGCCACCGCGGCCGCGGCGCGGCAGCACCCGCCGCGCGGAAGTTGAGCAGGGACCGACCATAGTCCTACCACGAAATGTTCTCAGAACCCAAAAGTGTCCTGAGAGCAAGAACGCTGTTCTTAGAACATAAGCCCGATGTGATAAAACAAGACAGGCTCCGACAGAAATGCTCCAAGAACACTTCGTGGAAGCCACACCAAGGCTCTCAAAACATGGCTTGGTAGGGCTATAGGCGAGCCGGGACGCTTCGCCAGTGCTTGAGGAAGGCGGGGAAGGTGGAGACCCAGGGTGGCAGGCTGACGGCCCCCCAAGCCACGGCGAGACCAGCGGGCGGGGGGCCGTCGGCAAGCGAGACGAGTAGGCGGGCGTGCCCGGGCCCCGTGCGAGGAAGAGGACCTGAGGAGGAGGTGGAGGAGGAGGAGGAGGAGGAGGCGGAGGAGGCGGAGGAGGAGGCGGAGGAGGAGGAGGAGGAAGAGGAGGAGGACTCCGGCCCACTCCCCGCCCACTCCCCTCCACGGGTCCTGGAGCTTCTGTGCTTTCGCCGTTCGCGGGGCCGGCGCCGCGGGCCCTCCCCGGGCCCCGGCGCCGCCAAGTTAGCGGCCCAGGGGCCAACAGCTGGTCCTGGGGAACGCAGGGGGCCGAGACATCGGGGACCCCGTGGGGTGAAAAACTCAAGACGTCATATGCCTGGATCTCTCTCTCTCTCTCTCTCTCTCTCCCGTCCCCCTCTTTCTCCCCTCCCCCCCGTCCCCAAGGACCAGGACCTGGGTCTCGACGTTGGTCGGTCGGTCAAACCATACACGCCTTCCTGCCTGCGGGCCGCAGCCCCTGACCCCAGGCCGGAGGGGCTCCAGGGCTTCCCCAGGACCAACTTCTCATCACGATGCCGCAATCAGATGGGATGCCATCTCGTATCGCAGAGCGCCTGCGAAACTGACACAATTGACGCTACACCCGACCACACCGGCATATACCGCACTATACCACACAACATCTGATCACAAAAGGTAACGCACTAGATCACGCGACTTGCGCTTGCATGATTAAGCCAGGAGCTTGGTGCTTCAATAGCCTGCTATTGATCACTAGTGGGCACTATCCACAAACGTGAAACAATGAGTTCACCAGAATCTGGTAGAAATGGTACAGGAGAGAGTGTGGTGAATGCAGATCGCTGGTAGGGACGAAGCCAAGTCCTAGTGACCGTTGTGCTGGTGGTCGTGCACCCAATCTCCTGATGGTAGCAGCACCAGGACTTCTTCAGCTCCGACCAGCCCTCCTCCCAGTTGGCCAGCCTGGGAGGAGGAGGGACGAGACAACAATAAGGTGTCCCTTCTGTATGCCCCTGCACCTCTATGCTTAAGTCGGGCCTGTCCCCCTACAGGGGGATTTTCAACGACAAATAAAAGACATCCCAAACATAATCAAAAAATAATAAAAAAATAGTATGGGGACTATTTTTTGAATGTTTTTTTACCCTTTTGGGGTGTGTTTGGAGTATTTCTTATTTTTCGTCGAAAATCCCTCTGCCGCTGCCGCCGAGCAGGCCCAGACCTCCTCGCGCTGTGAAGAAATCACGACGGGAGGTTTTTCCTTATTTTAGGCTTCTGGGGTCTCCTACCGGGTCTCAGGACCGTCAACAAAAACGGCTCAGGACGAAACGCTGGTCCCAGGGAAGGGGTCCAGACCTCTGGGGGTCGACGCTGTGAAAAAATATCACGACGTCGGGGGTCCGGGGACGGCAGCACACCGAGTGCTGGTGTGTGTGTGGGTCGACGCTGCGAAAAAATCGCGACCTCGGGGGTCTGGGGACGGCAACACACTGAGTGCTGGTGTGTTATAGGAGGCGGGGGCCGAGCAGCTCTTGCACCAGGGCGTGCTGCATCAAAAGCGGCGCAGGCACGCACAGGCCAACGCATGTGCAGGCACTCGAACACTCAGGCCGAGCGACCCCCCCCCGAAGGTTAGGTCGGGCCTGTCCCCCTACAGGGGGATTTTCGACGAAAAATTAAAAATACCCCCAAAATACACCCAAACTGTCAAAAAATATGCAAAAAATAATCCCCAAACTATTCTTGGACCATTTATTGATTATTTTTGGGTATTTTTAATTTTTCGTCGAAAATTCCCCTGTAGGGGACACGCCTGACTTAACCCTAAGGGCCACGATGCTGGGCGCCTTTGTCGGGCACCTTACCTCGGCAATTGCGTGAGGGGCCATGCACCTTGGGGCATGCCCCGAAAACTGAAGCCGGACCCCCCCAGGAGGGCCCCGCCTGCAAGAGGCCTGTCTCATGGATGTGTGGCGGGGCGATCAGAGGAGAATCGAACATGATGCCCAGAGCCCTGCCCAGAAAGGGCCCCACCCAGGCTGTATGCCTGCCCCGAGGTACTCTGCGGTTCGAGGGTCTTCAAATTATCGTGGACTTCAAGGCACGCCTTGAGAATTGAAAACCTGTCCTCCCGTGGAACTCATCCACCGGGCAATCTGCCACGGGTTCTACAGCAAAAAGCACTTCTGCGGGGCGGGCTTCGAGGGTTGGAGCCAAGAGCCCCCGCCGAAAGACGGGGGCGCCGCACCACTAACGCGCAGGAGCCAGCGGCCGAGCAGAGAGTACTGGCACTTCGCATGCAAGAGCCAACGCGAATGAAATCACAAATGGGTGGGCACCGCTGAGAGCATAATTGCTGCGCATTGCCGCGCGATGTCCGCGCCAACTGAAGATGATGTGATTGCACCGAGGCGCCATTGAGCCCATGAGTTTTTGCTGTTTTGTTTAAGGGACTTTTTCCACACGGAGGGCCACAACTGCCAGCAAGCGAATTCTGCTTCGACGCTCTCTGCGCGTGCGTATTCTCACGCAAGCTGCAATTCGGCAGCGCCCCGAAGCAACCGCTCCAACAGAAACACGCGGCGGGCTGCCACGCATTATCAGCAACGCTTGCCTCCAGCCACTCGAAGGTTCAAGCAATAAATCGCCAGGTGGGCAAACGGGGGATTGTATTCAGGTTCCCTGGCAGCCCCTCGTTGCAGTCGTACTCGTAGGAGGAGGTTGTCGTCGAGGACGTGCTTGTTGTCGTGGTCGTCAGAGTGATTGTGATTGTTGAACTTGTCGAAGTGCTCGTCGTAATCGTGCGAGTCACCTTCCGGCGAGCGAGGGGATGTAAAGAGGCGAGCAAAGATGGATAGGCAGTGGTCGAGGCTCGGCGCGAGAGCCGTGGATCGGAGGTATAGGAGGCGCCTGGGAGGCCCAGGAGAAGTTGCTGGCAGCCTGGAGAAAAACTTCGGGGGCGATTGTGGCGTTTCCCCCCGAACTTGGCGGCGCGCAGAGGGGGGTGGGGGGTGGGGGGAAGGCTTCTTAAAAGGATGCTGCTTCTTAGAAGGCGCGAGCCCTGTCTGTAGATGTAGGGCCGGCGCCTTCTAAAAAAAAACCTCCTTCTAAGAAGCCTTCCCCCCTCCCGCTGCCCCCCTGTGCGCGCCGCCAACAAACAGTGTTTGCACCCAGCGGATCGTGCGTACAGTCAAGAACTTGTGCTTAGCGTGTCGCGACGGCGGTCCCGGACACCGATATATCGCCCCAACAGGCCTCTGCGAAGGCGCAGCGACGGCCCATGGACGCCCTGCCGCGGGCCCGGGACGGGGCCTTCGGACGGGGGTCCCTGCCGTGGCGCCAAGGGCTTTTTAAAATCGCCCGAAGACGGCCCCGGATCGCCAGAAATGGCGCTTCCAGACCGCGAAAGCGGCCAGCGACGGCCCCGGCGACACGCTACGCCCGGCGAGTGGATAGCGTGTCGTTCCGCTCCGCGGTGCGGGAGGAGGAGGAGGAGGAGGAGGAGGAGGAGGAGGAGGAGGAGGAGGAGGAGGAGGAGGAGGAGGAGGGGGAGGTCGGGAGCGCTCGGGAGGCTGACGCCTGCGGGCTGGGACATGGGCGGCGCGGCGCGCCGAGGCGTGGTGGGCCAGAACCGGCGGCGCGGTGCGCTTAGCCGCTAAGCCACAGCTCCTGACCCTAGCAGCATTCCCAGACCTCCTCGCGTCGTGAAAAAATCACGACGGGAGGTTTTTCGCCATTTTCGGCCTCTGGGGGCCCTCGCCGGGCCTCGGGACCGTCAAAAAACGACTCAGGACGAAAAACCGGTCCCGGGGAATGGGTCGGGACCTCTGGGGGTCGCGTCATGAAAAAATCATGACGTCGGGGGTCTGGGTTTAGAGGCATCCCAAATGGGGTCCGAGTGAGTAGACGGGGTCAACAGATCACGCCGCATCGCCGATGCATCGCCGCTGCATCGGCGACGTCGGCGATGCATCGGCGACGTCGGCGGGGAGAGATTCGGGCTCCGCCTCGAGCAGCATCGGCGAGGCATCGGCGATGCGGAGCGATCCTCCGACCCCATCTGCTCGGACCCCGTGTGGGAGGCCTCGGAACTTGTGAGACACTTCTGGGCAACTCGAGTGCACCAAACGGATTTCTTTCCTCCTCCGTCTTCCATTCTCCACCCTCCGTCCTCCTGCTCCTCCTACTCCTCCTTCTCCTCCTCCTCCTCCTCCTCCTCCTCCTCCTCCTCTGCCGCCTGGATCACACAACCTTCGCGCCCTGCAGGTGACCCAAGATCAGCTGCACGCAAGAGTGACCCTAATTAGGCAAGGGTGACCTCTGGTGAGCGGCTACCCGGGGGCCAAACGCGCGCAGGCCGTCGCTGTTGCACCGCACAGCGCTCGGCGATCGGGGGACCCTGGCGGGCCCCGTACGAAACATCGCTCTGTCAGGGTCACGCACTCATACGTGCAGCCGACAGGAGAACTTCGCCCCAAATCCGTTCACAATCGATCCCTCGACCCTCCGGGGGTCCATCTGGGCCAGCTCTTCGAGCTGCGCACAGCCGCAGCGACGATTAGGGGTCTCGAAGCTGTGCGGTGACAGACTGTGCGCTGACCTCGGAGCCCCCACAGATCTCACCGCAGGGTCCGTCACCGCGCCGTCTCGGGACCTCGGATGCTCCAGCCGCCCGAGACGGCCCAAGCGAGCGGGTCAGGTCCAGACACCGGGCGGCAAACCCGAGTTGGCGGCGCGCACATAGGGGTAGGGGAAGGCTTCTTAGCAGGAGGCTGCTTCTCAGAAGGCCCTGGCCCTACATCTACAGACAAGGACCGCGCCTTCTAAGAATCGGGGGCGCGCAAGCATGGATTAGCGATCGATGGATTTGGCGCGCGATCGCTAAATCCATGGATCGGGGGAGGTGCCCTCCCAAAAATACGGGCGGTGCCGCCTCGTTCGGCGGCGGAAGTCCGCGGTTTCTCATGGAAGCGGGACCCGTCGCTAATCCACGCCCCTTGATCCATGTTTGCGATCGCCTGAACAATGGGGTAGGGGGAAAGCTTCTTAGAAGCAGGCTGCTTCTTAGAAGGCGCCAGCCCCACATCTACAAACAAGGCCCGCTCCTTCTGAGAAGCAGGGAAGATTCCAAGAAACCTCCCCCCTGCCCCTAGCCAGGGGCGGCCAAAAGGGGGGCGTCCAAGAGGGGGGGGCGCAAATCATGGCCGGCGGCATGTGCGCGGCCCAGGGGGGGGGGGCGCAGGGACGTAGCGAAATTAGAAGAGGCGCCATGAAATCTCAGGAAATATCATGGCCCACGCTGTGTCGGCGGTGGACAAACCTCCCTTTAGTAGACCACCCTTTAATGAAAACGGCCTGGGACCGAAACCGACGGACCTGGATCCGCAAGAATGACGGCCGCGACGCCCTCCCGCGAACCGAAAACGGCCAATTCGCGAATCGACGTGTCAGGGTAGGAGGTCTGTCCACCCCCGACTATGACATCCTCCCCACTAGTCTTAGGTCGGGCCTGTCCCCCTACAGGGGGAATTTGGGCGAAAAATAAAAAGTACAAACAAATATTCAAAAGATGCCCCAAAATATTCAAAAAATAGTCCACAAACTATTTTTTGACTATTTGTGAAGATTTGAAGATTCCCCCTGCAGAGGGACAGGCCCGACTTAACCCTAGTCATCACCCCCGTCTTTGCCGCCCCCGACCTACCTCCCTCCACGCGCGGCCGATCGCCCGAGTCCCCGCTGGCTCGCCACACGGCGCGGCCTCTGCACCGCCGGGGGGCCCCCCGAGCCCAAGCCGCCTGCGACGCTCCGGGTCTCCTCATAGTGTGGCTCCGCGGAGGCCTGGACCACTAACTAACTTCGTTTTCGTCTTCTTAGCACCTGTCATTGCACCGGCTTTGCAGACGTGCTGCAGCGGATTTCTGCGTGGATTTCTGCCCGAAGCGGCGAGCGAAAAACGAAGTGAGTTTCGCGTGGGCTCGTTTTGGTCTCATTCCTGGCCAACAAAAATCCGCACGGGATTTCTGGACCAAGATGACCCGTGATGGCTCCAAGAGGGCCTCCGATGCTCCAAGGTGGCGTCCAAGATTGCACAAGACAGCCGAAGATGGTTCAAGACAGCTTCCGCCATGCTTCCAAGATGCCCCAAGAAGCCACAAGACGGCCCCAAGTGCTCTCGGAGCCCACCCAGGACCCCCTACCGCCCCAAATCCTGCAAACACTTAGTGCACATCGATGATGTTTGCCTTCTCGCTTTTTCGCTTCCGATGGGCGCCTGAGGCCTCATTATTCCAAGATAGCCCAGGAAAACGCCAAGAAGCCCCCGATACGGCACCAAGACCGCTCCAAGAGCGGCCCAAGAGGGCCCAGAGAGACGATGTTGACGACACTTGAGGGGGGGGGACCTGATTAAGGACCTCCCACACCTCCTTTGATCGATGCCCTCCTAGATGCCCCCAAGGTGCCCCCAAGGCCCCAAAGAAGCCCCAAGAGGGTCCCATGATATTCAAACATGGCCCCAAGACGACCCGAAAAAACATCAAGATAGCCACAAGAGGGCCCCAAGAGAGCAGTGAGGAAACCCCAAGGCCTCGTCTTCCTCCTCCTCCTCCTGCTCCTCCTTCTGCTCGTGTTCGTCCGCTTCCTCCTCGTCCTCCTCCTCATTATCCTCTCCCTTCTGCTCGTGTTCGTCCGCTCCCTCCTCGTCCTCCTCTCCTCTTCCCCCTCTTCTCCTTCCTCCTCGTCCTCCTCCTCATTACCCTTCTCGTCCTCGTCCTCCTCGCCCTACTCCTCGCCTTCGTCCTCGTCCCCCCCCCCCTCCTCGTGCGCGTCCTCGTCGCAGTCCGCATCCTCGTAAGATGGCTGTAATAGTCCTCGCCCCTGTCCTCCTCCTCCTCCTCCTCCTCCTCCTCTTCCTCCTCCTTCTCCTCTTCCTCCGCATATTCCTCGTCTTTATCGTTATCCTCCTCCTCGTATTCGTCCTATTTCTCGTCCTTGTCTTCATCGTCGTCCTCCTCATTTCCCTCTTCCTCGTCGTCCTCCTCCTCCTCCTCCTCCTCCTTCTCCTCCTCCTCCTCCCCCTCCTCCTGCTCCCCTCGCCCCCGCGCGGGCCTCAGAGATGGCCCGAGCAGGCCCTCCAAGGCCACCCCTTTGTTCGCAGAGATTATCTCAGTTCACAATGGTTGCCCGCGCTGTTTCACTATATATGTTCCTTCCTCCCGTGCCCCGCCAGCTCTTATGGGCAATGTTTCTGGATCGGCTGGTGGGGATACGCGAAGCGTGAAACACTTTCCATAGGCCAAGACGCATTTTGGACGCGAGGCACAGGACATGTCATGGACAGTTGCATCGCCGTCATCACTTAAAACTGCTACGTTGTCATCCGCGCATGTTCGGATTAGAAAGCGATTGTGTGTTTTCTGTCGTGTCTAAACGTGGCTCTAAGTTTGGCATGCGAAACGCTCGTTGGTGCCCATGGCTGAGCATGGCTAAACGTGGCTAAACGTGGCTAAAATGCATGGCGTGGCTATTTCGTGGCTATCCGTGGCCGAACATGCCTAAACTCGTGGCTCAAAGTGTCTAAGTGTGTCTAAAATCGGAGGTTGGTTGGGGGGTGAGTCCGACGTGAAACGGAGACCCCCCCTACTGAGAAATCGATTTCGGTTTCGGGTTCGTGTCGTGCGTGCCGTGCGTGCGCGCGTGCGGGCGAGGCGAAGCTGCGTGGGCGGGCGAGAGGAAATCCTCCTGTGGCTTGGCCGCGGCCGGACCAAATAATTCTCCTCCGGCGGCCGGTGGCCCGCGGTGTTCCGCTGG